GGACGCAGCTGCCTGGAGCGCTGCGCAGCAACGCGCTGTGCCGTTCTCTGCTCAAAAGAGTCCAAAAATGATATAATATAGAAAACTTTTTTCCGGCTCCCTGGATGTGTAGGATATCCAGCTCCCCCATAATTCGATCCCTGCTCCTGGATGAAAAGCCGGACATTTTCGTCAGTACAAGAACCCGCAGTCCGGACGCCCGGACAGAAAGTGAAAAGTGGACATGTCCGGGGAAAACGGAACGTACGGTCACCCTAGTCCTCATAAAGCGGGAAATTATAGATACAGTAATTTGCTCGTGCCCTGGGCCCTTTAGAGTTCGTGGGCCCTGGGCAATTGCCCAGTTAATCCGGCCTTGGAACCGGTTCGCAGCAGCGCGAGTCCCCCCCCGCTCATCTAATAAGCGTCGCGCTCACGACTTTAGACTCTTGTTTTTACGAGCTTAGGGCATGTCTAGCCTGTGTAATAATCCGGGACTTGGATGAATCACTTTTGAAAAGTTTTTAATTTACCCGGACACAGAGTTCTCTCCTTCCTCGCTGATGATCCCGACATGCTTTCGTTTAAGACGCTGCATCATCCCGTGCCATGCTAAGTCTGACCTAAACGTTGCAGGTAACGCATGTCTTCGCCTGATTTAACTGAAAATGCTCCCAAACTTAAAAAGCTTTTACTTTTTTGACTCTCGCTGCTTCTGCCATGTTCCTCTTCCAAACAACTGCCGGCTCTCCCTCGCGCTGATCTGTCTGCGCGCAACGGCGGGCGGGAAGGGGGGGGCGCTTTTGGAAGAGTTGTGCGACACAACGAATCGATGACGCAATTCGTTGCCAACGCTTTTAGTAATCGATTTTCATCGAATTTATCGATTCGTTGTTGCAGCCCTACTGTCCTGTGTGTCTCTGTGTCATGGAAGTTAACCTTAAGTCTTGAACCATCTGAGTCCTGAGCTGTTGTTTAGTGTGCATTCTTAACTTCTCATAGCTAATGCATGTCAAATGTACAACATGTTACATGGTGTGGCCCCACCACCTCTCAGTGAATTTGTGAAGATCAGAACATCCACACACAGACTCACTCAGGAGCGTCCCGAGGTGACTGCATCATCCCTCTAAGAAAATGTACACTAGGTCAGTCATCCTTCTGTGTTAGGGCAGCTCAGGACTGGAACAACATCCCAGCATCAATCAGAAAGATCTGTACATACACCTTATTCCACACCCATTTGAAAAACTGGCTCATCAATAATCAAACCTGTCAACACTGACCTCCTGCGCTGCCACCCTGTGTTCTCAGGCTGTATTGTCCTTTGACTCTTAACTGCAATTACTGCATGTTGTACACTTTTACTAATAATATTAATACTGCCCTAATTTATTGCATGTTTATGCTGTTAAGAATAATGTAAATCAGACCTTTTATAAGTTGGGGCAGCAGTAGCTCAACAGGTTGAGCGGGTTGTCCAGTAATCGGAAGGTTGCAGGTTCGATCCCGGCTCCGGACAGAGAATTCTGCTGTTGTGTCCTTGGGCAAGACACTTAACCCCCCCTGCCTGCTGGTGGCGGTTGGAGGGACCGGTGGCGCCTGTGCTCGGTAGCCTCGCCTCTGTCAGTGCGCCCCAGGGCAGCTGTGGCTACATTGTAGCTCATCACCACCAGTGTATGAATGTGTGTGTGAATGGGTGAATGATACACTGTAGTGTAAAGCGCTTTGGAGTCCTTACTCTGCGAGGCGCTATACAAGTGCGGGTCATTTATCATTTATCATTTGAATCTTAACAGCCGGTTGTTGCCCCTTTATTATTATTATTTTTTATCTCCAACCTTTTTTGCATTTGCTACTTAGGCCTATCATTCTGTTCGTTTTGTTACTAATATTTATTTAATACTGCTTTCATGCTACTTTTTTCTACATTGGAGTAATATGATGTTCAATTTTGTTCCGGACTACTGAAGCTTTTCTATAACAATCTTCATATAATTTACTTATGATTGTATAGGTGTTTTATAATGTCCTCCCTAGGATGCCGACTGTACAACTGGCGCAGGACTACAGATGTAAACTAGCCTATGGCTAACTCTGGCATGTTTCAGAGTGACTGGTGTTAACATGCACTGTCCTGATTATTAAATAAATAAATTGGAAATTGGAATTGGTATTAGTTGTCCTCTGCTTATTTGGGTTTGGGTCATGGGGGCAGCAACCCGAGCTTGAAAGCACAGAATATCTCCACCAGATAGTGGTGATAGGCCTGGCTGGCCTTGAGCTGTAAATCCTGTAGCTACCCTGGGTTCCAAGCACTGGCACCATCGGTCCCTTTAACCACCACCAGTAGGCAAGTTGGGTGAAGTGTCTTGCCCAAGGACACAATGACTGCAACAGCTGGGGCTCGAACCTGCAACCCTCTGGTTATGGGGCGGGCACTTAACTCCTCTGCCACCCTCACTCCACAAATGTGATATGGGCGTTGTACCGTTCTGTCGGGCTGAAGAGAGTGGTGACCTTGGAGGTTTTTCAGCAAAACCTTAACCACCTGCTCATTGAAGTCAGGTGTATTGAAGCAGGGAAACAACTAAAACATGCTGGCCTACCAGAACCAGGATTGAACACCCCTGCCTGAAGAATCAGGGACTGTGTCAAAAACAGAAACAACTCTTTGGGTTAAACATTGTTGCGATGACCTAGCCAGTCCTAAAACAAACCTCCACCCTAACACACCCACCAGAGAGGTGTGAAAAGAGCAGCACGGACTCAACTCTCATCCTTTCTACCAAGATTAAATCATGAAATCATTCAGTGTTTGTGTGGTCCTCTCTGTCTCTCTGGCCTGTGAGCAGAAAGGATGGAGGGGCTGCGGAAGAGCGAGGAGCTCCCAGCCAGTGTGGGAACCACAGAGGAAGAAATCCCTGGCTGATCCAAGACACTTTGTTTTTTTGCCCTTTGCTCCCTCCCTCTCTCTTTCTCTCTCTCTGTCCATCCATTTTTTGGGGGTTTTCATTTTTATTCATTGGATGATCGGTGTGGAAGGAAGGGTGTCGAGAAAGCAAGGAGTGGTTGTGTGTGTGTGTGTGTGTGTGTGTGTGTGTGTGTGTGTGTGTGTGTGTGTGTGTGTGTGTGTGTGTGTGTGTGTGTGTGTGTGTGTGTGTAGGAGGAGGAGGAGATGTGGATGTAGGTGCAGGCCTCAGACCAGGGCTGGCAACAATAGCCACAGTGTTGTTTGGGTTGTTGCGTCCCGGACTCTTGGACGTTCTTCCCATGTCAGTATAATCACTACTGGGAGGTAGCTCCATTACGGATTACCATATCATTAATAGTATCCATGACTTTTGTTCAAAGGCTACTTGTGTAATGTTGCCTTGTGGATGACGGCTAATCCGCTGAGCTGCAGCTGTAGGAAAGAAGAAGAGTAGATCCCACCATCAGTCTCTCGCTCTTTCGCACTCTCTCTCTGACACACACACACACACACACACACACAGGGACACATATAGAGGCATCAGCCCACAGGGATCAGCCAGTGAAAGACAGATACAATCAACAGTCAAATACAAAGTTCTCCCAATGCGAAAAAGAAACATCCTTTCTACACTTCCCAGCTGATCCCCAGCGTAAAGCCTCCCCCTCTCCTCCCCTGTCGCCAAGTTGGCTGTCGTCCTCCCATTAAAGCTCATCTCTCTCCCTCTCTCTCCTCTCAGACGGTGGGCCAGATTAGGAGGGGGAACAATAACAGTTTTCAATGTAAAATGTGCGTCTTGTTTGTGCCCCCCCCACCCACACCCCCACATCACGATGGGAGGAGAACGGGTGAAGCATAAACGGTCGTTCACAAAGTCACCGGTGTCTTCTCACATCAAGCCCTGTTCTGTGGCTGTTTTAATCCATCCCTGCTGCTCCAGTCTTTTTTCTCAAGTATTTCCAACCCAGTAAAGATGAATGAACAGAGACCAGATGTGTGCAAGGATTTTTTAGACCCACTTTGTCTGACAGCTTCTCGCATTTATGACCTGTAATAATTTTTCTAAGCTTCCAGCTGCATCTGAAGATGTCAGCTGGAAATCTTTAGTAAAGAAACTGAGTGATGCTGGTCAAAGAAGTTCTGGAGCATCATTCTTTGAAAATAAACATGTTTAAATTCAAGAATTTGTTTTACTGAATTACTTATTCATTTGTTTTTATTGATCTTTCATTACTTTTTTCCCAGTTGTTTTACTAATCCAGATGTGGCGAGTCCTCATTTCCAGCGCCTTACTGGTCCAGATGTTGCACCTGTCAGTGCTGATGGGCTTGCTTTTCTTGACTAATCTTGCTGCAGCAAGCCCTAAGTATGTTCAGAGTTTTGGCTGAAATGTTTGTTATTTATTTTCTTTTTTACAATCATAATGGGATCCACTGGACCCCACATGTTTGTTTTTTTCTTGGAGGAGTGAGCGTCCACCTCACCCCATGTCTCAGGGACCCCAAAGGATAAACCATCAACCCTGCTCAACCACCCGCTGCCCTGGAGGGGGCCCTCAAAAGGACAGTGGGGAGATTAAAGAATTTCAATAGATTTCTGTTCAGAGACCATTGTTATAAAATGTTGTGTGAGCAAATTCATAAATCAATATATAAAAAGCTGGGAAAAAATCTGCTCAAAAAGGCTTAAAGTCCAACTTTATAAAAACACAAACAAAGCACAAACAAAAAGAGAAAATACAACAAAAGCTGGAAATAAAAATATAGTTGGCAAGAATTCCTTTTCCAATTTTTATTCAGACCCGAGTCACATGGAGAAGAATCAGGCATCCATCTTAAAGCTGCCTTCCGGAGTTTTACCCTTTCGGAAATGATGTATGATTTGTCAGAAATCCGTAAAAGTGATTATCTTATCATGTACTGTGATATAATATAAGCAATACGTCTTTTTGTTTTTTTGCTAAGCACGCCCCTGCCCCGCAGAGCTCCGTGCAATAGGAAACTGAGCGCCGACCAGAACTAACCAATAGCGTTAAGGTTGTTTTTTTTTTTCAAAACTTTATTGAACAAGGTGAAAGTATACAATCAAATTGCATACAAAATTGAACAAAGAAGATGAAACATATGCCGGGGGTGCACTACAGAAATGTTACACACATCCAAATAACTTATAGGTGGTGCAAATAGTTATAGTTTTTAAAGCTTTTTTGTTTAGTGATCCACTAATCAATTTTATGTAAGATAGAGTGTCACTATAATAGTGCTTGAAATTAGGTTTTTGGTTACTATATTTGCATTTGTAGAGATAGAATTTAGCTAGAATAATTAACAAATTTATAACAAAGTATACATCTTCCTTTCTGTGCTTGCGAAAAAAACAAAATACAACATTTTCCCATTTTAAAACAAAGTCCTTGCAGAGCTGTCCGATAATAAATCTGCTAAAGTCTTTCCAAAACGTTGTAGCATGTGAACAGATCCAGAAGAGGTAGCGTTAAGGTTGGTTTATGCTTGACGCGTCTGTGAGGTTTGCACGGCTCCGTGCAGCAAAATTGCGTCATTTTAACAACCACGCCCCTCCACCGCGCCTCCGCACAGCCCAAACTTTACGCACCGCGCACCTAGGAAATTTTCTAACCACGCGGACGGTCGAACACGGAAAAACATGGCGGACCGGCAAGAACTAGCATGGCAGAGGTTCGTAAATACAGACATTTGTATGATTCAGCTCTCAGAGATCACCGTGATCAACATGTTGTTAATAATTCTTGGAGAGAAATAGCTCGCACTGTCGGTAAAGATGAGGACGCTGTTAAAATGCTGGAAAAACGAGGGACCGATATGTGAAGGCAGGGAAGGGGAACAAACGGAAAAGCGGTGATCCTGGTGGAAACAAGAACACTCCACCAATTCTACAATAGCTGAGTTGGCTCTCAACTTTCATTAACAACTGTTATAAACAACAGTAATTTCTACTTCTACTATGGTGTAGTGTTGGATGCATGCCGTAGAGCTCCATGCTGCCCCCTACAGTTTGGGAGAATATTGGCTCACCGCAGAGACGAGCCGCATGAACCATAAACGCTGCGAGTTGTGAAGCGCGTTCCATCCTTGAGCCGCATCACCGCGCGGAAAGTAAACGCGTCAAGCTTAAACCAAGCTTTAGACTACCGCTTAGACGCATCACATTTAAGGATTACCTCGGCTGATGCAGAGTTGATGAGCTTTTCACGGAGAAGTAAGTCTCTAAAATATATGAAAACACAACATGACATGAGAATATTACTCGTAAAACATTGTGTTTTAGCTCTGTTTGTCGGCTACAGAAGCACATTTATAAACAGAAACGTGAAGTCGCCATCTTAAAAAAACGGAGGAACAGCAGTTTTGTGTGATACGCTTGTCAGCCACTAGATGGTGCCATTGGATAAGAGAAATACTCCGGAAAGAAGCTTTAACTCTTCCTTATTGACGTGCTCCTCTCCTATACTGTCCCCTAGCGGTGGTGGTAACAAGTATGGTAAACAGCTGGAGGACAAAATTGAAACTATTAAGAACTAATAATTAAATGTGTTGTTAAACATATGTTTATAATCAACGATAGAGAATAAGATATAGATTTTTGTGCTTTAGGATTTAAGATTCTCAGCTGTAACACCACAGAAGGAGGTTCTACTTCAGGGTTGTGATGATTTAAATTACATGTTATTTAATAAGCCATAAGACATAGGATTCCATAGGAAATATGAAACCAACCTTATGGATCTGTTGGTACTGTTTAACCAGAAGATTGGAACTTTTTATTGCAGGGATTATGTAACAGCTTCGTATTCATTCAGAGACAACAGAAGAGAGAGAGAGAGTCAAGTTTAAAAGTTTAAAGATTTATTACTAAACAAATTAAAACTAGACTAACTTTAACACAAAATGTATGGTGTAACTAAGGTGAATGAGACAGACAATGGTGTGATGTGGAATGTTGCTCAGAACCAGCAAATCCGAAGAAGCGAATCATTCTGATGGGAATTGAAGGTGATGTCTTCACGCTAAGCTTTGGTTAGGAGATTTATAAACACATTCGACGCCATTTGTCGGTCTAGCCTTAGTGGAAGTTCCCGTCTAGATCAGGAGGTAAACATATGTTTATAATCAACGATAGAGAATAAGATATAGATTTATGTGTGTTAGGATTTAAGATTCTCAGCTGTAACACCATAGAAGGAGGTTCTACTTCAGGGTCTAAAAGGCCACAGCAATCAAACAGTATTTAATAAAGAAGTAACTCAAACACAAAAAACAGGAGTAAAAGAAAAGGAAACAGAGTAAGGACAAAAAGGCGCTGCAGGAGTGCACGTGTCATGGCAAATTGTGCAAATATGCATGATACTGTGCAAAGATACAGATGTGCATTAGTTCCATGGTTCATGTACAGGATGCAACACGCACTCAAACAGAAGAACCACACAAAGATACTCTTAAATGTCTTTTCCTTCTTCTCTGAGCGGCTGTTGTGGTTTTGGGCTGCATCGCGTTCTCCATCGTGTTCAACATGGAGCCCTGCTGCAAAGGTCACGGTGAGGTCAGCTGAGGTCGGACTGCTTCACCTACATATGAAAGCTGCAGCACATCCACGCCTAAACAATCAAAACTAACTCGTAAAAACTGTATTCTTTGTTTGTGATCATTGTTGTCATTCAGTTATTTTTGCTCTGAATTAATATTTGAGTTTTTGAACTTTATAAACTTTATTCCTGAAACGTGGACCTCTTTCAGTCAGAGCACACGGTCACTTGAGACGAGGTCTTCCACCCTGACTGGGTAACAGTCTCGTCTCTGCTGTTTCTCTCTCTGAGCTGGTTTCTAACATTGTGACCTCAGAGGGTGACCTTTTGAGCCCTGGGGTCCACCCTCGCTGGCCCCGTGCTGGCCCCCGGGAGCAGCACAACATAGAGGAACGTCCGTCAAACAGGCAAGCGTACCCCATGAGTCCAGCCAAGCGCACGGGGAGCACATTAGGACCTCGGGCTGTTATTTACCCTTTCATTTTGGCCCTGCAGAGTCGACAGGGGCGTCAAGTTTGTCAGGTGCCTCGGCTGTGAGCACATCAGACACATCCAGGCTTTCTGCTTCCCAAAGAGCCTCGTGCTGCTTTCTCCTGATTCACAGTGTCGGTTTTCATATCCTCTACGCGTCACTGGAGCGTTAGTTTATGACAGGAACGGAGCGGCCCGGGTTACACCATAAAGACTTCTTTAAAAGAGCTTCACGAGTGAGACTGAAGCTGAAAAGGAGAGAGCTCCTTTCAGTTTTAAGAAGGGAACTGATGAATTGATTGGAGAAGAATGAGACATGTATGAAAAGTGAAAACAGGAGATGTTTGCAGCATTACCAGATCATGAACTCCGCTAAAAGCTTCAATATTTGATCACACTTAATCGAAGGGCGTTCTTTTATTTGAGATTATAAAACATCTTTACTACTTTTGTAAAAATCAAACAATGATATGCAAAATGTTCTTTTGTAAGTTAAAACATTCCACTTGTATTAAGACACACACAAACTGAGAGGACTAAATATGCATGAATGAGTGTTTTAATAGAGACTAAATCCTAAAAACTTTCTTAAAACATGTTGGTGAGTTCGGTTACTGTTTACACCTCGATATTAAATGAAGGACGATGAAGTTTTGGGTTCATGATTTGAATCAAAACATCAACATGTAAATATGGTTTCAGTGTACTGGTGATGGAGTTGTACCTTTGTTTAATCTGTGTTTTATGCGTTAGCCTCACACCTGCTCTGCATCTGCATCGTGCTTCTCCTCATGTTTCTGTGAACCCATCAGTTTCTTGTAAGTTTCAGTTTTTGTCGGCTTGTTTCTTATCGGACATCTCGACTTGGATTGATAACAGCAACACGACTCTGCCACTGACTTGCAACGTTGATGCTTTATCTCCATAAATAGTACAAGTTTGAAGGCCGTGTGGGGAAGTTGCTAATGCTAACGGTTAGCTTCTACTAGCCGAGATGTTCTTCGCTGTTCCCTGAATGCTAGACTTATGTTTATGTTTATTTGGTAAATGGCCTGTATTTGATATAGCGCCTTCTAGAGTCCTGAAACCCCCCAAGGCGCTTTACAACACAATCAGTCATTCACCCATTCACACACACATTCACACACTGGTGGGGATGAGCTACAATGTAGCCACAGCTGCCCTGGGGCGCACTGACAGAGGCGAGGCTGCCGAGCACTGGCGCCACCAGTCCCTCCGACCACCACCAGCAGGCAACGTGGGTTAAGTGTCTTGCCCAAGGACACAACGACAGCGACAGACTGAGCGGGACTCGAACCAGCAACCTTCCGATTACGGGGCGAGCACTTAACTCCTGTGCCACCGTCGCGTTTATCCAAAGCGACTTACAATTTATAACCTATAGGGCGTGTTGTGATCTGTGGGGGAAACCGGAGGACCCGGAGGAAACCCACGCACGCATGGGGAGAACACGCAACTCCACGTCGCAAGGCCGCAGCCGAGTTTCGAACCTGCAACCTTCATGCTGCGAGGCAACAGTGCTAACCACTGCGCCACCATGCAGCGGCGTCTGCATGGTGGCGCAGTGGACTTCCCCATCGTGAGTCATGATCATCATCGTCATCGTCCTTTATTTATAAAACATGTTTAAACAGCGACCACGCCAACCAAAGTGCTGCACAAGACGATGGGACACCAAACTAGAAGACAGCAGCATAAAATGGATAAAAACACTTAAAAACTAAAGTAACAGATCACCAAACTAGAAAACAGCTGCGTCGTTAGCTAAAAATAAGTAAAAAAAACTAAAATAACAGACAAACTTAAGGGTTAAACAATCTCAGCTGGGTAAGCCAGGGAATAAAAATATGTCTTCAGACGTACTTTAAAAGTTGGAAGGGAGGGGGCAAGTCGGACCGTCAGGGGGAGTTGGTTCCAAAGCTTAGGTGCACAAACTTAAAAAGCCCGTTCGCCGCGTGCCCCACAGCGAGCTGGAGGGATGAGCAGAAGCTGCTGGTCAGAGGACCTCAAGGTTCGCACCAGAACATAGGGGCTTAAAAGCTGCGCCAAATAAAAGGGCGCCATTTCATGCAAAGATTTATACACCAGCAGTAGAATTTTTAACTTAATCCGAAACTGAACAGGAAGCCAGTGCAAATTTTCCAAAACAGGTGAGATGTGTTATTAATCGGTCTGTGTTTGTTAGAAACCTCGCTGCAGCATGCTGTACCAGTTGGAGGCGTACCACTGAAGAGGAGGGAACCCCATATAACAGAGAGTTAGCATGGTCCAAACGCGAAGTTACAAAAGCATGAACAACTGTGTGGAGATCTCTCTTGTATGATGGGCGAGTCCATGAATGTTCAGTGACAGTGTGACGTAGATCTGTCAGGCTTTTCTAATCCTAGATTTTCACCGTCTGTTTTCTATCAGAAGCTAGTGCGGGAGATAGGTGTAGGAGACTATTTTCATGTTCCTCCTGTATAAATATCTCAGACACAGTCCTCTTTTTATGTGAAAAGTTTTTTTATCGTTCATATAAGAACTGAAATAATCTAAACTATTTTTCATTTATTTTAAAGATACGTGTTAATAAGTATAAATAAGAACTTTCTAATGAAATCCCACAGGTTTCGAGGACTGACAGAGGAGCACCGACAAGTTTGCATCTTTCTGAATTCACTTCTGAAAAATCTAATCAGGCAAGACTCCTAAAACTTTTGAAGCAACAAAAGGAAAATATAACCTGAAAGCCCCCCAAAAACCATCTTTATTAAGGTTTCTTTTATCTATTGTTTAAAAATTGAAAAATTCATTAAACCATTTAATCTGGATTCCATTCACCTTCAAATAAAAACAGTTCTTAATGGTTACCTCCCTCCATGAAGACATCCAGGGGCATTCCTCACATGTTTTCCCCCCCTCAGCCTTGAAGAGACACAGGAACTAGTATGTGTGCTGCTCTTTGTCCAACCACCGTGCAAAATGACCTGATTTATCTTGAGCACTTTCCGATGTCACACTGTCTGTTTGGTGACAAAAGTGCCCCTTGTTGTGGCACGGCAGATAACCAAACCCACCCTCGTGAAGCATGCAGCAGGTCCATAAATGCCCCTCTCAACCTTTTGTCCCCTAAAAACAAAGACCTGAGCTCCCTCTTGGCAAATGATGCCTTAATTGTGTGGGTTAACAAGCTCGCTCTTCATGTCCAATGAATAACAAAGAGTTTCTCCCAACTTTGTTTCTTTTTGTTGGTCATTTTCTGCTATTTTTGTTTGTTTCAGTTGGTTGGGTGGTTCCCGTGACGCTCAGTTTCTTCACGATGCTCAGATTATTCAGATGTCACACAGAAAAATCTGCAAAAGTAGACAAAGACTGTGACTGTCGTGTTGTTTCCACAGTGGGATACTCTACTGTATTCGTCATGACTACATTTATTTTAGGGATGCTTTTGACCCGGGTCTGCCTCTGTTCTTACTCGATTCATGTTTGGCTCAAATACCTTTGCTCTAAAGGTGGGAGTGATGAAAAGAACATCTCAGAGGATTTGCATAATCTGAAGGCACTATAGCTGGTGAGCACACGGGGTTGTGCCAAGTGTAGAAAGGTGAAGCTGTCATCCCTCAGCAGGGGGGAGGAGCAGCAACAACAAACAATGTCTTCCAACGGTTTTGTACTCTCATGTCATAGCTGGACTCTAACATCGTTTTGAGTTTTCAGAAACAACAACCCTTTTTCCTGAGAAGATGCAACAGTTGTCCCTTTAAACTCAGTGATGCACTCCCAGACAATCAAAGGGCATTGATGAGTGTTGTTTTGTTTCGTTTTTTTTTTCTTTCAGACTCCATTCATGTCTGCTCTCGTCTTACAGTCGCCGCCATTCCTCAGACACGGCTGGTGCCAAGGCAGTAGGATGGCTAACCCCTCTCTCTGATGGGAATCTGTTGCTCATGGGCTGGGTTGGCTGCCAAGTTTTGGTATTATTGGGTGAGGGAGGGGGGAGGGGTGTACAGAAAGGGGGCCCTTTAAACCCTGTGAGATAGTGCTATCTGCTGTGGGAATGATCTTCATCCCTTCTCCCCCTTCTGTTAGACTTAGACTCCCTTCTCTCACACTGTTTCTGTTTCTCCCACTCTGCCTCTGGCCTAACACCCCAACACGTCACACACACACACACACACACACACACACCCTCCCCCACCGTCTCCCACCCTCTTGTCTTTTCATTCTGTAGATCAGGCGACCATCCTGAGGTGAGCTGGCGGAGATCCGATGCCATCGAGGGCACTTTGATTACCAGCCGGCCCTGACTGCTGGATCTCTCACAGCTTGTATGCTTCTTTGGCTTTTCTCCCAACGGACGACTGTAACACGCAACCAGCAGGACGTTTAGCTGTGAGAAGCTTAGCTGAACCGGACGTCAGTGCTCGCATGGGCCCAGAGGTCAAACATGAGCTTTAAGGTGCAAATAGGACAAAAAATAAGAAACCTATCGAAAAACCCTCGAAATTTAAAAAGTGGACCTTTGTGTGTGTGTGTGTGTGTGTGTGTGTGTGTGTGTGTGTGTGTGTGTGTGTGTGTGTGTGTGTGTGTGTGTGTGTGTGTTGCACTACTAAACATACTTTAATATAACTCAGGAATTAATCACTGGATTCAAATCAATTAACCTTTGGAATCAACTCAATTAAAGATGGCTGCCACTGAGCTTTGCCAACAATGTTAAGAAATAACTCACTTTTACAGATATCGAGCAAAAACGTTCCCACATTTCCACCTTTACACATCATGTAATCCTGGCTGCACCACTAGATTAATTTTCATTTAAAAAATTCATGGAATTTACATTTATTTTTCAACATTAGCCAACACAGAAATGGCCTAAATTGTGCCAGTTCTACAGGTACTGAACCAAAGTTTGGTGTGGTTCCAGCTGAGAGTCATTTCTTACTTTGATCCCCAACTGAATGTGTAAAATCTTTTTTATCTTTTTGCTTTTATGTTCAAGCATTGATCAAAAAGGACAAAAACGCAATTTTCCTCTATTAAAAAAAACACATTTTTTTTCTTTTCATTAAAGGGGACATAAGCAAACTCAAATTTGCGATCTTTTACCATGAAGGTTTCTACTGCCCCATTAACTCTCCATCCATTTTCTTAAACAAGCAGCTTCAAAAGGTCCCTGTTTGTGACATCACAAAAGGGAAAATTAGCATAGAACCACCACTCTCATGCAATAGAGAGCTGCTGCTGAAGGAGCAGTGGCTCTACTCTGAGCCCCTCCTGGATATCAGAGTTTCTCAGCTTATAGAAGCCTGAGTTCATGGCCAGCTCCAGCTTGTTTTCTTAAATTGACAGAGCCCTGAAATGGCTCATTATGGAAGGTACTGAAACTGTCCAGAATAAAACAGCTGAATGTTAGAGGGATTTAGTGCAAATAACTTCACAGACGCGTTTAGTATTGACTATAGAAATATTATAACTCATGAAAAAAGCCATAATATGTCACCTTAAAAACAATGTATTTTGTTTACATGCAAAGACAAAACGTTTCCAGAAGAAGTTTGAATTAAAGATCAGATGAACTTGTCAAATCTTAAACTTTCTCCCATCAGCTTCTTCCTTGATGCAACAACAGTTTCTCTAAATGCCGCTCGACTCGATTCACATCAAAGCTAAAGGAAAAGTTTCTGATTGTGCTGCTTTGAGACTCAAGCCAGCGATGAATAATTTTTGTTTGAAAGAGCTGATTGTTAAAGTTCAGTGTGTGATATTAATGTGAAAGATAAACATTCTTCAGCTGAAGCTCTGCCACTGTGGCCTTTTTACATCACAATAAATGTTCTTGAGTCTGTTTTTATTCCTGCTAAATGTATTATTATTCATGTGACGCACTGGGGCCAAATCTTTGAACATGAGTCCTTTTTCTCTGTTTAAAGTCAGGATTTAAACCAACATTTAGGCTCCAGGAATCCAAGGATTCTCTGAAAGGCCTTTATTGTATTGTCACTTCTCCATCTGCGTGTTTCATGTCTTTTATTTGCTCTCTTTTTGCTCATCTTTTAGGTCAGAGACTGGTTAATGTGGGTTTATCCATCCATCCAAGCGGTTAATGTGGACTTCTCCTGACGTCCACCCAGGAATGATTCATCCTAACTGTCTGGAGACTTTTACCTCTTAGAGTCTAAAACCTGAGCAAGGTAAGGATTCCTGAGTTCATTTTCAGCTTGACCTCCTTAAATAAAGCCGCGCGGAAACTGTTTTCTTGCTCTCCCCTCAAGAGAAACTTGGATTTCATGCTGTTGATTATTTTTCTTCATAGTCACTCAAGGATGAAGCACGAGGACTCGGAGATTGTTCCCCATTCAGATCCTCCACAATGGAGCTCATTGGTTTAAAAACAACATGGAGTTTTCCCCTTCTCTCTTTTTTTCTTTGCTTTTCTTCAACAACAATTATGCCTCCTTAAAGAAAAACAGAAGAAGTCTGAGAGACATTTATTGGGACGCTGTGGTCACGTAGAGCCAGTGTGCCAAAAAAAACATCTCCTTTTGCATCCGAGTCTGTTATCAATGCCTGGAGGTGAAAATGAGTTTTTCTCCTGTAAATTAAAATCTTAAAACATAATTTGGAGGTAAATGCTGTTTTGTTTTTTCAAGCATCCAGAAATAATTAGTAAAATTTCAAGTTGTGCTTCTTTTTATATGCAGCAGGCTTTAAATTGGGGTTTTCATCTGTATGTAAAGCATTCCTGTTTAATCCTATGTGAGCCTCATCTGCTTAAATGTGGAGAAAGAGCAACACTTGGCTGAATTTCAGAGGAAATGTCCATCTCAAAACCTCAGAGAGAATTGAAATTAAAGCGTTTTCATGCAACAAAAGACCTTAGTTTAAAACTTTCAAATAACTGAATCAAACATTTCATGTAAAAGAACGGTTTGGTTTTGTCTTTTCAGAAACTGGTGCTCCAACAGACTCATCTCTGTCAGCCCAGAAACAACTAAATCTCAAAATGTGTTTTTCAGTCATTCAAGTTTTTATTTTTAGCCCAAAAAATCTAAATACACGTTTGATTATTTGTTTGTCGCTTTGCTCTGCTAAGTTGCGGATAGACGTTGGTGATTTTTACGCACGACGCGTAAAACAAGTCAAGCAAGTCAGATTTAAGTAAGAAATAATGTATTTATTCACAAAATGTACATGAGAGATAAATAAAAACTAGACAGAACATCTACATGGCGTGCTGCGCGCTGTGCAGCCCGAACGTGTTTGCGTGCGCGTGACCTAGGAAGTTGAAATAGTGGTGATCGAGTCCTTGCACCGGTGACAAGTATCCACCGTGCTGCTGCGTGCTGTGCGCTGAGAGCGGCACCGTTTGGTACGAGATGGCCGGGCTGCGCGCCGAGCTGTGCCACGTGAAGTGTCCCGAAGGGCTTTGCTGGAACACGGAGTCCGAGGGGCTGTGGTTCTGGTGCTCCGGGGAGGAGTGCAGCTGACTCAGGTAGTCTGACGGTTCCTGCATCGCGCTGATGGAGCCGAACAGAGGCTCGGTGGCCACGCGGGACTTTGACTGCAGGAAGGCGAGGATCCTTGCGTACTTGAAGTCTTTGGTTTCGGCTCGGTCCTCTGTGGTCAGGTAGTGCACCAAGTTCTTCATGCACTCGTGGTATCCGTAGTGGAAGTAGTTTGCGAATTCAGCCAGAAGCTCGCCTGGAAATAAACCAACCCCAGATCAACACTGTGTCGTTTAAGAAGTTGCAAGAAAAACATATTTTAGAGTTTAATCCGGTAAAAGTTAAGAGGCAAGGCTTTGGAAACGTCATGCGCGTAAAGTGGCATAAAAAGTGAAACGCTCACCCTTTTCTCTTCCACGAGGAAAATCTGCGGAGTGGAGCGCTCTCAGGTACTGAACGGTCATCTCCAAGATCTCAGCTTTTTCCAGTTTCCCAGAGTTCTACCAAAAATAGACAAAAATGGTGTTCAGAACGCTTCAGAAGTGCATACATGTTTGAGTTTTGTTTTGACGAAGTTCCATTCTAAGCAGTCTCAAAACTGATTTGTTTCCATATTTTCTAGAAGGCACAATAAATCCACTATTAAATACAACTATTAAATAATCAAACCTGTTTAGCCAGCGCCATTGGGACGGTTTTTCCGAGCTCGTTTAGGCAGCGATTAATGCGGTCCCTTCTTCTCTTCTCAATGACTTTATGGGAGATCGGAGTCCTCTGTAAAAAAATAAATAAATAAAAAATAAGGAAGATAAACTAAAATCATTTCACACAATCTCTGCAGTTTTTTCTGTAAACTTATTGGAAAACAAAATGTACAATGAAATTTTATGTGTCGCACCAAAAAGCGTTTAAAAGTCATCTTGGTGCGTTTTGCGCGCTGCGCGCTTTGTTACTCCAGAGCGCGCGACAGCAATTCGTTTACTCCAAGGCTCCAAATGGGATACAAAACACATTTATTGTGTTTGTAATTTTGGAAACTACGTTGCTGTCACGAGATTATAGTAAATTATGGCAACATTATGGATCTATGTTTCAATTGCGCGCTGGAGTTCTCCTGCAACGCGCGCCTCGCGCATCTGCTCGGCACAATTTAATACCTCAGAAAATTGATCCAAGTAGGGATTCAATCATATATAGCAGAAAAAAAGCACAAGACTTCCTTTTGTCGAAAAAAAAGAAAACACAGGATGACAAACTGTTTTAGTCCTTAAAGCAGCAGAGCGCACGTGAAGGAGCGCATACCTTCCTGTCCTTTATCTTGGATGCCATCGTTGTTTTTTCTTCTTAAAAATAAATTCAGCTGCACTCTGGAGAGGTGTGTTGTTCTAGTGTAAGATGAAGCAGTCTGAGGTTTGAGTGGAAGCTGTCTCTTATAAAGGAACCATCTAGGGAACTCTGGCATTCACGGTGTAAATTATTCCACCGGATTAGAGCCGCGCATTGGTTAAATGTGTGCGTTTAGGATCAGTTAAAGAAATAGTTAAAAATCTAAAGCCACGGGCTAGCAGGGGGGCAAACCTGCTTTGTTAATCCACGTGGCTGTTCAAAGGACACGTGATTACTTTTGGAATATTATTTGCATAGTAACAACGCAGGCGGGAAATAAGAACCGAGCGCTGGGATTGCCTGATCCGGCGGTGGCGCGCTGTGCGCACTCGAGACAAAGCGGGCAGAAAGAAACCCCTTTCTCCTCCAACTCGCGTTTCTCACACGATCTCCTGTTTACAAATCCCAGCAAGCGATCTTAACTCTCGTCCAAGCTCGGTCAGAGTTTTAAGGCCTGTCCAGTATCATTAGAGTAATTAAGTAAGCCTTTAATAGGCTGTTCCGCCAAGTTCAGGGGAGATCTTTTGGAGACGGAGTCCCCCCGTTTGTTCTCGGCGTTTCTCACACGACTTGGTGACACGTCCATCTTTTATGAGAGATGGCAAGCTTTTTGTTTACATTCTTTATTTTCTTGGACTCCTCGGCAGGTGTGTGATTAGCCCTGGCACACGAGCGTCGTCTGCGTCAAGGCCAGCGTCTCCAGCAGCCTCTGGCACACGAGGGTTACCCACCACTGGAGACTCTTTGGAGAGGCTCAATTTGTATCCTATTATCCTATAAGAAAATGTCTATTCAGTCGAATGAATAGTTTCATTGGCCTAAATTTTAATAATGCTGTGAAAGAAAGGGAGAAATAAAGAAGAATGCAGCTGGTGCGAACGCGCATTATTCCCCGTCACCTGCAAGATGCGTAGCCTGGAGACCCCTATTCATTTGCCTAATTTCGGTCAACTTAACAAACTTTGAGAGAAATTATACTGCCATTGTTGTGAAGGGTGAAGCTTTCTGATCGAATTAACAGCATGTTTTGATCCGGTAAATGTCATTAGAAAGAAAGAAACAATCGCGTTTAAAGGGGCCTGGGTAATGCGCCAAGTGGAGACGCCAAAGCGCAAACAGCACAAAGGGTGCAAGCAAATGCCACAGGGGACTTTTGTACCCTCACATTGCTCAAGTTTTTCCCCCCTAAACAAAGGGCATTATTTTATACTTGAATACATTTCATACAACAATTGGCTGTTTTCCTTCAAACACATTTTCACAGCAAGGTCCACAACAGGTTTATTGTGTGCGCTCGCTCGCACCAATATCATGCGCCACAACAGTTTGCTCCCATTCTTTTTGTGACTGAGAATGTTTTAATCTGAAAACTTTCGCCATGCTCGGGCATTTTTGATCCTGTGAGCGACGTGGATGTGTCAAAAGCAGCGGAGGTTGAAGAAAGCGAAGCTCACAAGACTTCTGAGGCTTTTGGAGAGTTTTGAGAGCACCATGGAGAGAAAGGCGCGAGTGAGCGGGACGGGGGCAGAAAATCCTATTACTTGAGTGTGGAGTTTTTAACACTTTTTATGTGTTTATCCTTTGAAATGTATAAAGACGTGTGGTTTGTTGCTTTCTTTTCTTTTTCAGCGAGCTAAATTAATCACTGGAAGTTTTGGCTGACTTATTTTGAAGCGCAGTAATGCGTCATCAGACCAAGAGTGATGGGATGTTTTTATTATAACTTTGATAAAACGCGGTTTGTTTGTGTTTTTGTGTTTTTTTCCATTGTGTAAATATGTATCTGATGTAAAATAACTTTATTAAAGATGTGTTGTAATAATTGTTTTTTATTCTTGCGTTAAGGGGGTTGCTGCATTAAGCAGAATCTACAAATAACCCAATTTATAAATGAGCTTAAACTGGCTGTTTGGGTCGTAATATAATGTGTTATTTTATGATCAAATCTTCATTGAGGAGCACAAGTCGGAGATTTAGTGTGAAAAATGACCAAAAATTGACTTGGAAAAATAAAGGAAATGATGTTTTAATTTTTATTTCATTCCAGATAAACCCTGTTATCCCCATTTTCTTTTAAAATATTTGTATAATTAATTAAAAAATTAAGATATTTTCTGCTCCTCTACAACATATTTGGCATTTTGACGCATTTATTTTATTCCTCATAATATTTACATAATGTCAAAAATGTAGTGAAACAATTCTAATAAAACAATATATTGATGTATTTGTATCTGATTGAGGAGCAGTTCAAGAACCTATCATCCACATTAATTTAATCCCATCAGGTTTATATTCTTGCATCGACTTGAATCACAGCACATAAAATGCACGCCTAAAGCATTTTATGTATAGATTAAAATTTTCCTGGATGAAAGCAAACAAACAGGCCTACAGTCACGAAGCCCTGTTTGCAGCAGCCGCTGTGTGTTGTTAGGCGCTGCGCTCTGACCCGTGGTGACCCCCCATCGGGGTCCCGACACAATCCTTTGGTCTGGTGCGCCCCCCTCAGTCTGAATGGCAGCAGTTCACACGGTCCCCTCTGAGCCCGTGGAAAAATACTTCAAACTGATTTCCAACTATAAGGTCCAGCAGCTAAAGGTCCTTTTTTCTACAAACAAATATAAAACATGACTTTTCTAAGTTTCCAGCTTAATTCAAGTGAAGGGAACAAATCATGAACTCTTCTCTCAAAGCTACACATGTAAACTACAGCAGTTATAATAAATGTGAGATTTAAAACAAAAATACGAGCCGCTATCATTGCACTATTATTGGCCTTAGAGTATTAGTGTGTTTAAGTCTTCAGCTGAACTGGTACTGGCATTATTCTGGTACACATCAATGCAATACTGGATTTACAAAGTATGTCTGTGTCCCTTATGCTGCACAGTTCTGGGACCCAAGTTCCCTTTTTATTCATAGTTTTTAGTGGTTGAAGGTTGTAATAACAGCTTATGTGTATATGTGTGTGTATAATAATACCTTTATTATTTTTCTTCAAATTATTCTCTTAAGTGTTGGAGCTGCTGTAACAAGTGAATTTCCCCACTGTGGGATCAATAAAGTCTCTATTCTATTCTATTCTATTGTGATCTATTCTATTCTATTCTATTCTATTCTATTGTGATCTATTCTGTTCTATTCTGTTCTATTGGTCAAATTTACTTTTGTGATTGGATCTTTTTTAACACCCAAAAATCCACCAGTCTCACATTTGAGACCTAACTCTTGTTGGGCTGATCTTTTATTCTGACGATTTATTCTCAAAGTTGTTTGTAAAAACTAAGATGACAAAATAAATAACTTGGTAACTCAAACGTCAAAAGTTCCTTTTGTCACACGAGTCCGCCCTCGTGTGGCTGAGTTTTATTGCTACATGGTTTAACGTGTTGTACTTATACAGATTTATTACCTTAACGAGAGTAAAACATTACACACAGAGTCTGAATCCTGTTGTTACTGATATTTAAAATCAACAAACATGGTCTGGTAGCTTTACAGTGATTATTTAAGTTTGGTCACTGAATTTCAAACATGCAGAAAACAATAGGCTGCTCTGTTTGACACGCTGCAGCGGATTTGGTCTGCCTTCTTCTCATATTTTTGGACTAGCTGGCCTTCCCGAATGTGAAGACGTGATAAGAAATATTTGTTGAGTGCATCCGTTGAACAGCTTAAAACTCTGCCATCAGTCTGTGAATAGTTTTGGTGTAACACCATATGGTGGTCCGTTAGAAGCAGAAAGTACATCGAATGCAAATGCAGAAAGAAAAATCACTTTAGCAACAAGGAGGATGTCCTGAGCCTGAATTAGACAAAAAAAACAAATATCTTCAAAGTGTTTTTTAAGACTTTAATGTTTTAGTGGCTTTAGTGGCTGATAGATGTAAACATAAACCCATGTCTTGCAAAATAAATATTGGATTACTTATTTCTTTAAATATAGCTTTTAAAGGAAAAACTGTACATTCATTCTGCCCACCTCAAAACACCCTGCAGAGGTTTTTTTTAATATAGATTTTTATTTAAATGTTCCATATTCTAACCTTAAATCAAACAATTCAGCTGTGTCCGTGATCTAAAACATGCAGGAATCATGTCTCTGAGCTCTCGCAGTTTAGAAAATTCCCAACGTTAACTCCTCTTTGGCTCCTGTTGTGGTCGGATGTTCTTTTTATTTGTTTAGCTTCATCAGATTAATGCTTTCTTTGTTTCTTCTGAGGCTTCACCCTGATAGACACGTTACAGTAAATGCCAACTAGGTATAGCTTGTCTGTTCTGAGGTGAATGAACACTAATTGCTGTAAAGCGTGACTTTGTTAGACTCCAGGGAAGTGGTCCTGAGAGGCTGAAGTTGCAAGCGCAGTGACGTGTCCAAGCCTTTT